AAAGTTATCTTTTTATTTTCTTGATTCTTATTTGCCCATGTTTAAGCCTCAGGTATTGTGTCATATTTCATTAAATTTGAAGTGCAAAGCTTTACCCAAAAATGTAATTATATCATTATTTCATTGATGTGTTTTTCACATCAGTTCAATTCAGCAAACATAGGTTGGCAGCCTTCAAGGGGGTTGGCCGCTGTGCTGAGCACTGGGAAATACAGAGATGAAGGTTAAGGATGCTTTCTGCAAACATGTTAAAATGACAAATGCTGCTCTCTCCATAAGATCCAGCCTATGTGCCCATCAGCAGACAAGTGGATTAGAAACCTGTGGTACATCTACACAACGGAATACTATGCTGCTGTACAAAGGGAGGAACTCTACCATTTGCAAGAGCATGGATGGAGCTGGAGAGCATTATGATAGCGAAAGACAAATATCACATGATCTCACTCATTTGTGGAATATAATGAACAACATAAACTGATGAACAAAAACAGATCCAAAGACAGGGAAGCATCGGTCAGACCATCAAACCTCAGAGGGAAGGTAGGGGAGGGTGGGGGTAAGGGGGAGAGATCAACCAAAGGACTTTTATGCATGCATATAAGCCTAACCAGTGGACACAGACACCAGAGGGGTGGCATGAGTGGGGAGGCAATGGGGGAATAAGGACACATGGGTAATACCTTAACCAATAAAGAAAAAAAAAAGAAAAAATGTATCTTCTCAGCATTGGAAAAAAGTCACTAAAAAAATTACCTTTTATGTCACCAAACCATAATTTGAGGCCCCACAATATTGAGAATTGCTGTCAGAACAAATGGTAATACAATTGACTATCTTAATAATTACCAATTACTTATTAACAGTCAGGCAATGTTCTAAGAGCTTTACTACATAGTAACTCACTTATTCCTCAAAACTAGCCTATGAAATAGGTTCTATTATTATCCTTATTTTACAAATGTGGAAACTGAGGCACAAAGGCATTAAGTAATTTGCTCAAGGAGTAGTAAAGTGCAGGTAAGAACTCAGGTAATCTGGCTCTAGAGCAGGGGTGGGCAAACTTTTTGACTCGAGGGCCACAATGGGTTCTTAAACTGCACCGGAGGGCCAGAACAAAAGCATGGATGGAGTGTTTGTGTGAACTAATATAAATTCAAAGTAAGCATCATTACATAAAAGGGTATGGTCTTTTTTTTCAATAGTTTTATTCATTTCAAACGGGCCGGATGCGGCCCGGGGGCCGTAGTTTGCCCACGGCTGCTCTAGATTGTCAATGTCTATAGACTTCTCTTGAGACCTTTGAGGAGTAGCCTGCCAATCCCATAAGACACTTACTAGTAAGTAGGCACTATTATTATCATATTACAGTCAAGAAACTAAAATTTGCCGAAAGTCAGATCACTAAGAAGTGATAAAATCAGGATAATTATCTCATTTGCCTTTCTCTAAAAACCAATTTCTTAACTATTAAGATATAGTGCCTCTCTATATACCCATTAAGAGCAATGAATCCAGAAGCTATTAGATAAATCAGATCAAATTTCACATAAAACTAAAGATCAAATAGGAATAAGATATATGTCATGGTGTAAACTTAAAGAGATATGTTTCCTCAGAAATATAAAATATTGCCTGGCCAGTATGCTTTAGTGGTTGAGCATTGACCTATGAACCAGGAGGTCATGGTTCAATTCCCAGTCAGGGCACATACCCGGTTGGAGGCTCAGTCCCCAGTGTGGGATATGCAGAAGGCAGATGATTAATGATTCTCTCTCATCATTGATGTTTCTATCTCTCTGCCCCTCTCCCTTCCTTTCTGAAATCAATAAAAATATATTTTTTAAAAATAAAGAAATATGAAATATCCATTGATTTCTGCCAAGTACTTCCAATTACGATAAGCAAAGACATTTGTAAAATGTATCATTTAATGAGAGAAAAATACACATCTTATATAGTTTAACATAAGAGATAAAATAAGTAGATATAATGTTAACTTTGCCTGCCATGTGTACTAAACACCAAATGTAAACTTACCTGCAAGGAGGCAAGACCATGGAGTCTTTCATAAGCACAGATCCAGAAAGCAGGATGTACCAACATCTGGCAATAGTTTCTGAACTATTTAAATAAATAAGTAAATAAATACACACATTCACATGTATATGGATTCAATACAAAGTATAGAACATAAAATATATTCTAGTACTGCAACTCATTACAAATTAAGTAACACAGACCATGTTCACATTCTTCATCTTTGTGCACTAGGTCATCACATATGACAGAGATCAATTTAAATATTGTACTATATCTGCATATTAGAAATCCTACTTCTAATAACTTTTCTGTATATCGAAGACATTATTTGGAATGCACAAATTTATCAATGTTGTATCTTCACTTTCAACTAAATTTAGATAATAATCTACTTATTTCTTTTCAGTGTTATTCTGAAATACATTGTTTTATGTTTGAAGAATAAAATAAAAGAGTATCAGATAACTTAAGTCCATCAGCATTTTAGTTCAGTTAGATATCCAGTAAAAACCCAGAATCTTGTTAGATGTTAGTTTATAATCTAAACTAATCTCTTTCGGTCAAATATATTTACTTACCATACCTATAGTCTTCAATCAATTTTAATATGAAGATTCTAAAACCTATAAAAAATATCTCCTTTGAGCTAAGAACTGTGTATCTATCTGAGTGTCTACTTGACATGTCGTCTTGTATACTGAACACACAATTCAAACTCAACATGTTTAAAATCTACCTCATCCTCATTTTCTTCAAGCATGGATCTTTTCTATATCCATATTAAATGTAGTACCATCCTCCATCCAGAAACCCAGGCCTACAAACCATTCTATACACCAACTAGGATAAGCTTTCTGGGTCAATTCTAATTGTTTATCATCAGAAGAAAAACATATTGTCAACTTTCCAGCGGGTACTTTAAAGTTCCTTTCTCTCTTTACTGAAGGAAGATGCAAATGGCTGTAAAATTTCAACTTATGGTTCTTTATTTATTTTTAC